TAGTGACATGTTGGTATTTCAAAATTGACCGGTATTTCTCAATTCTCATTTGGATTTATTTTGCAGCGATATAAACACCTCAATCTATGGTATGAGACGCTGAAAAATGGAAAAAAGAAAGGACTTAAAGATAAATAAAAAATAAGATCTATTATTCGCTTCATAAGAGCAAATCCATGTTAGTCGTAGAGTGATCTTGCGAGAAAATTTAAATGCAGCCAATCCTTCAGCCATTCCTTGATAGGAAAGTTATATAAATCTCAAGAATAAAAAGCATATCATAAAAAAAAAACTCTTAAGCCATCTAATGATGGAGAAATTAAATTTGTCGTTCAAAAAGAAAATATAAACTTTTTAATTTAGAAAACTTGTGCTTAATTAAAGACAATGAAGCCTATCACAAAAGGGGCTATTTACTATTGCCACACAATATTTTCATTAGTCAAAAGGAGATATATTGTCAAATCAAGAATATTAACACTGAAAAATTTGCTTCCAAGTACCTTAATATATATAATAAATAATATATATATATATATATATATATATATATATATATATGGCAAGCAATCTGCTCCTGAAAAGTACATTATTTCAAAAGTAAACTTTTAACGCGGATTTTTATACAAAAGATTGTTTAAAGAAACCCGTTTTGCCATTTAGTAAAAGCATGACATGCCCAGATTATTTTGGTCTGATTTGGCGATAATCCACTACTTCAAGAAGTCTCAAGAATGGTATGAACAAAATGGCGTCAAACTTGTATTAAAGGATCTATAAATTGTCCTCAGCAGCGAGTTACTAAAAGTTATTGGTCAATTATAAAAGCAATCTTATTGAAAAGCTAGCTTCAGATAAAAAATATTTTAAGAAAAATTGGATAGCAGCTTCAAAAAAAGTAACTTAAAGCAAGAGCCAGCTGATGACGTTAATAGCTCGCAAAAGTAATCGATTTTAATTATAGCGTCCAAAAAAATTATTAAACTAAATAATTCACATAACTTTATTGTGTCAAAAAAATAACAAAAATTTTTTTAAGTAGTTTTTTATTAATAAACAATTAAAGGGTTGCTAAATTTATCCTGTTTATCCGATGCTAAATTTCATCCTGTTTATCCGATGAAAACAAATTTGCATATTAAAAAGAAAAGGTTAAAAAAAAAGCTCAAAAATTAAAAAAAAACAAAACACAAAAATAAATTAAATAAAATTTAAAATTAAAATTTAAAAAAAAATATATATATATATAAAATTTAAATTAAATTGAGTTATCAAAAAAATGCTAAACCTTTTTTGGTTTCCTTCTTTAGGTATTACCACAAGTCTTGTTATTTTTCCATTAAATACGTTTATATTGTTCTAATATAGAGTAGAAGCAGGTAGATTGAAAGAGTATAGAATGAAATAGTTATGATAATATTTATTTTTTTATTTATAATTTTGCCAAGTCGCGTTTGCAGTGGCAAAAAAAAGTGGCAAACTTTAACTCAACGAAGCTGTTTAGTTTTTCAGCATACCAGTAGCAACTCTTTATAAGAATGTAAACGACATAGGTGAAACAATTGGCAGTGGTTCAAACACAAGATCTTTTGAATCTACTCTGGTAGATACACTCATTAAATTATCCGATTGACGCTTTGGTTAAAATGGCAACATCGCTTAAGTTACCGACTATTTGCAACATCAAGGTCAATCTCATCAACACCAGGGAAAGATTGCTATATTTTTTACATCAACCAGAGGAGTCACAAGTTAAATATTAGGGCCGTTGGCAGTATTTATCCCTCAAAGCGACTTCTTGCACGCAAAAAACAGTATTAAAGTATTTCAACGCAGTGTAAAGAGAATTCAACAACGCAGGTTGTACAACTTGTGAAATTTTGATTAAATTGATTTCTCTGAATAACAAAAACACATAAGTGCTTAAGTGGTAAAAACGATGCCGTATACGCAACATCTACATCTGGATGGATGGAAGATAAACAATTCGTGCATTTGTTTATTGGTGTATACGTTCCCGCCATTAAAAAAAGTCCAGGTTAATAGTTTATTCGATTTGTTAAAAATTAGTTTAATCAATTAATTATTTAATTAAATAAATCAAAATTTGGTTATTCAATTACACTCATAATTTAATCAAATATGGACACTTGACGTGTTACCAATCGGGTTGTACCTATTTGTATCGAAAACAAAAAATTTTTAAATTTGTTTACCTCCTCATTCGTCACATATTCTGCAACCACTATATGTCGGTGTTTATTGGCATGCCAAAAAAGTTGCACAAATAATTAAGAGAGTTTTATGCCGAGACAAAGTTTAGCAACTAGTCAAAATATTTTAGTAAACTGCGAGCAAAACTTTTTAACTTTAGTGAAGTTTGCACGCAAATGCCAATGGATTTCAAAATACTTCTGGATTTCCGCTCAACATCAAGAAAATCGATCAATCTAAACTACAAATTGCTAATACGTTTTTTTTTTTACTTCTATTTAGGTGCCCCAAGAAGTCAATGCGGTCCCATCACAGAGCACCGCGGATGAGCATTTAATTTGAATTTCACGACTTCTTCCTAAACGATGCTGCAAAACTTGCTCAGTGGTGGGGTTTGAACCATGGATTCTTTGCTTCTGATGCAAGTGCGCTACCACTGCGTCACGGCTTTTGAAGCACTTTCATCTCAATTTGAATTTTTGTCAACCACCAGAATATATGCCAGTGTCTCTACCACCAGCACTACTAGATCTTTGCTAGTAGTGTTGCACAAAGTGATAACTTAACTCATCTTCTGGAGCCTCTTAGTGACTCAACATTTTTTGAAATCAGATTTGGATTTAACTGAAGCGGATCCGATATCCGGTTTTTCTTACCCCTAGTTAAAACTTCCGAGCTGGAAGTTTTAACTAGGGGGGATTTTAATTAGTCTATTCTCTATTACCTGTTCTAACTACAGATTTAAAAACCACATATATCCGGTTCAGTTAAATCCAAATCCGATTTCAAAAAACCGAATCGGATAATTGGTTTTACTCACCCCTACTCAACATCATCACATAAACAAAAATATTTTTTTTTGTTAACTGGTTGTTTTCTAATTGTTATTTTTGGTTGCATTTTTTGTAACTAAGTATTCTTTTAAATACACATCAATTTGCATATCTCATTCTTAAAGCCGTAGCAAGCCAAAACGACGCCTGGTGCGAGACTGAAATTTAGCGCTTTTCATTAGCACATTGCATTAGCACAATGCCTTGTATAAATACAATGTGTGTATGTGGGTGGAATACAAAAAGCGAACTTGAGTCAAGCTCGACTTGAACTTTACATTGCGACAGAGTTTGGGTTTTCCCCTCCAAAAATACTCATCCAGTATTGGTTACAAAGTAAAGTTCAAGTCGAAGTTGACTCAAGTTTGATTCTTGCATTCCATCCTGAATGATTTTTAAAATATTTTTAGCTTCTACATCAAATAGAAATGGAGGAGGTAGTTTTAAAAACAGATTGTAGAAAATTGTTTTACTTTCTACTCTCTATTTTTACAATCACCTCCTCCATTTCTATTTGATGCAGAAGCTAAAAATGTTCAGTTTGACGCAGAAGCAAAAACTATATGTATACAATAATTATTTAAATATAAGTAATGAAATAATAGATTTGTAATTAGTGATTACATTTTAGCAATTTTATTATACATCAAAGGTCAAGCTAATGAATACCATGCATATAATTTATATTATATTTGTATAGATATGAATATAGTTTCCAAATTATACAAAAAAATTCCGCCCATTGTGACCGCACTTCTCGCATACACATTAGCTACGGCTCTGTTCGTTCTCCCCCAAAATGAGGGTAGAAAGAAATAGTTTTTTTTTCCAATTAAAAGTTTTTAAAAAACTTTTTTAAAAAGTTGACGAATTTTTATTTAATTAAATAAATCTCAAAATTCTCTTATAAAAAAAAGAAAGGAGAAAAAAAACACTTAACTTTTTGACTTTGACCCGCTTCTACTCTATTTCACGATAAAAAAACATGTATTCATATATGGTTTACATATAATGAAGTAAAAATAAGAGAGAAAAAAATATTTTATAAACCGATTTTATCGTTTAAAAATTTCAACTTTTCAAAATAAAAACGTTGTAATGATAAAATTCATAAGGGATTTAAATTCAGTTTAGACATATTATTTAAACAGTTGAAAGGTATGGCATGAATTCATTTAATAAAATCTACTTTAAATGATATTAAAATAAAGTAAATAAATGGACAAATAATGCAAAAAACGTCAAAACTTTGGATAAATTTTTCTTTTGTATTTATTATCTCAATGACTATTAAAAAACTGCCATATGTAAAATTATTAGCGTATACAATCAGCTTTTCCAAGAAACTGTATCTTAAGTAATTATAGATTAGTGTTTTTCAACGAGAAATGAAAATAAAGTTACGCAAAAAATGTCGTGTAATAAAAAAAGTAATATAATCTTAAAGAAATAAACTTTAAAATAAATACATGTGACACTACTTTATCATTATAAAAAGTTCATTATTTGCCAACTAACGAAGGTTAATGTTTCGGAGTGGAAAAGTAATTATGTTTATTTTTAAACTTTTAGACCGTGACAATCGACAAAAAGTTTCCGAAGCAATAACCGATTCCTGATTTGCGGAAGAAAATTTCCAATCCCAAGTTGTCTGTCAATCCATTTAATTATTAATAAATTATCTAACTGCCAATAACCTTATTTAGGGGGTGTCTTTAAAATACTGAAAGCGTGTATGACAACTGCATGTAATAATGTTATGTTATTATAAAGATTGAGTTGTGATTGATTTGAGATAAAAGTCATATAGGGATATACGAAAATTTATGTAAAAATTTAATATTTGCTGCTATATATATATATATATATATATATATGTATATGTATATATATATATATATATAATATATATATATATATATATATATATATATATATATATATATATTAGGTACGTGCGTATCTGGCTATTTACGGCACCGATTTGTAAGTAAAAAACTGTGACCGTTTTTTTCACAGCGTGCTCGAAGTCGGTGTGGTAAGGATGTATTTATTAGTCTTTTTTTTTAGAATTTTATACCAGCTTAGACTTTTTTTGAAAAGTAGAATGTTTTAGGTTGTATAAATTATGTTTTTTTTCCAAAAGTATTAAGTTTTTCAGTGATTTTATTGCTCTTTAAAATTTTGTTCGTGTTCTGGAAGTGCATTGATATTGAAGGCATGTTGCTACACATTTAAAATTTTCCAGTCAGCTGTGTAAATCTATTTTCTATGTTCCTGCCAAATTTCATTAAAAAATATTCATGCGCAGACACCCTATTTTGCCACCTAGTGGAGGTACATTTTCCACCTTTTTTACAACTACTGTTACTGTTACACTTTATTAAACTGTTTCTGTTAATGTTACTGTTACTTCTTGATATAAATTCCGTTGTTTTTTTTACATTTACTAGTGATTTTTATTAGATTTTCAAATTTCGTTTCTGTTCTGGAGGTACATTAATATTGAAGGCATGTTGCTACACTTTTAAAATTTTCCAGTAAGCAGTATAAATCTATTTTCTATGTGCCTGCCAAATTTCATTAAAAAATATTCATGCGCAGACACCCTATTTTTCTGTACAGTGGAGGTATGTATTTCCACTTCCGTTTAGGCGGGGAGGGGGGGGGGCGTAATTTGATGGTGAGCATTTGGTATATTAGATTGTTTATTCATAATAATGAGATATATAGATAGTTTTCATTAAAAAGGTATACAATTTTTTTTTCAATAGCCTTTTATTAGTAATAAATGGCTATTTAAAAAAAAAAGTTGTTAGTAATAATATTACTAACACTATTGTTGTTAGTAATAATATTACTAACACTATTGATGATTTCACACACCAAAATTAGTTTCAAGGCTAAATTCTGTTAAATCTAATTTAAAATGCTGAAATAAAAATTATGACACTTTTTTATGGTGATTCAGAATAAAATGCGAAATAATGATAACAAACAAAAACAGCATTTTCTCAATTTTTTTCTGTACCCATAATTTACCATATAACCACCGACCAGCATTATTTATGATATATAAAAATTATATATATCTATAATTTTTTATTGATCAAAGGCAATTTATTAGTTAGTTAATTGTGATTGATTGCTGACCCAATTAAATAGTAATTAAATATTAATAATGATTAAATTACAATTAAAGTAGTGTTATGATCGTTGAATTTAATTTAGTGCATCATGGGACCTAAAAAGAAAACAAATCTATTTTATGGTAAAGCTAAATCTTATTTAGTTTGTAATTTTCCAATACCAGCTCATTTAAATATGGGCTGTAGAAATGGACATGTACTGCATATATTGGCAACTAACAATGATTCATACCAAGTAACTGTAGAACTAATCAGTAAGTATTTTAACATCAACATTTCTCCCAATCAGATTCTGCAACTAGTTAGAAAATCAAAAGTCTTTGTAAAAGCTTTTTCACGAAATTCAAAACAATTTATTGACATCTGCAACATGCTCTTTGAATACCAACCAACAACATCTGCTGTGACTCAAACATCACAGTTAATCACAACCTCTAATCACATTGCTACGTGTTCTTCATTTTTTTCTCAGCAAATCACTGTTTCGTCTCTATCAAATAGTGACTCTTCTCAAGAATCAATATCCAGGTTGAGAGCTGACCAGGTTAGTCCCAGGAAAAAGATTATGAGAAAGACATTAACCATTTTGGAAAACGAAATCGCAGTTAAAAAGAGAAAACATAAAAAAGATCTTAAAGGTTTAAGAGAAAAGGCAAAGGCTAGACCATACAGATTAAAATATCTAAATCAAGTTATTGCTCGTAAGGAAAAGATAATTCATCAACTTAGAAAAAAATTAAAATAAAAATTTTTTAAATATACAGTTAAAAAAACTTCAAAATCAAATTTTTTATTTAAAACAACAGTTAACATTCACCGAAACCAAGTTTTTTAATCAAAAGACAATGTTATCCCAACAACTTGCTGACAAAAATTCTGCAATTCTTGTACTTCAAAATGACATACTGGTTTTACAGGAAAAGTTAGAAGATATTCAGCAAGTAACACAAAACACCAAAAATGAAAAATGCTACTCAGCAGATATCAGAACACTTATATATGACATGCTTGTGTGCCAAGTTCCTACACATAGTGTGCCATCTCTGCTCCATAAAATTGGAGAACATACTGGCTATCAATTTAGTCAAATTCCACATCGGACAACTGTAGAACAAATGATGCGTGAGCTTGGTGTTCTTTCAGACTTACAGACTGCTGAGATAGCATTTACAACGAAAGATCTGACACTTGGTTTTGATGCAACAACCCAGGAGGGTGTTCATGTAAATGCTGTGCACTTAACAACCGAATCAGTATGTATGGTTGTAGCTATTGATCAACTTCCTAGAGGTACAGCTTATGACTATCAGAGTCATATTACAAAATCTGTTGATAATCTTGCTAAGTTATATAGTGACTTCTATAAGCTTAAATACACTGATGTAAGAAGCACTATTATCGGGAACATAACAAATACCATGAGTGATAGAGTTGCAACAAACCATGCAACAGTCTCAAAGTTAAACCTAGTTTGGCAGAAATCATTAAATGAACTTAACTGTCACCTTCACCCCTTGGATACAATGACAAGCTCTTGCAAGTCTTCACTTAAAGCATTAAAGACTTCAAAAGGGAAACTTTTTGGAAGAGACTGCATAGCAGCAAACATTGTTGTACAGCTGAACAAACTTCGTTACAAGGATGCTAAAGGTACCTATATAGTTTTAAAACCATTCTTTTACTTTAATATAGTGTAGTTTTGTAAATAAAATTACAAGTTAAAAATATATAAATATTATAATTATTGCATGTTTTTAATTCATATTTTCCTTGCAATTCCCAAAATGACTTTCTTTATGTTATTCATAGGCGATCTAAAGGGTTTTGTAACCTTTTTGGACCAACATGAGTTGCCCAGAGGATTGCTACCACACTATAGAGGGAACAGACTACATATACTTTTTCACACATGTGGTATTTTCATCCATCATTATGCCATATTGAAGATATTTCTGTGTTCTGGCTTGGCGTTATGTGGAGGTCTGCGAAATAGTTTGTTTCAAGACTTTACATCTGAAATAGGTATACCACTATTATTTACAATATTATAGGTTATAGAATGCATCTTTATAACATAGTAATGACACATGATTAACAAAGAATAAAGACAAATTTTATTTTTTGTTACTTATTAACTAATTTACCTTAGGTATCCGTGAGTTGTGTGTTTTAGCTTTAATTGGAAAGCTACTTTCTGGCCCTTGGATGACAAAATTTTATATTGCACCAGGTACAGGACTTGACTACATATCTGGCATTCAGGTAGTAAAAGATGTTAGGAACACTCTTATTGAGAGCAGCAAGAATCCCTTATCTCTACTTAAACGAAAAACTGATTTCTTTGGTAATGATATTAAAGATGTTGTTTTTGATTCAATAATCAGCTTTTGCCCAGTAACTAATGAAATGAGTAAAGCATTAGGTGACTGTCTTAATGCTGTTATTAGCGTCATTGACAGGCAGTACAAGCGTCAGTTCGAAATGAGTTCCAATGATCTTCTTAAAGACCAGACTAAGTCAGCTAGGCTTCACAACATTGATTCAGAAGAACTTATGGGTATGTTTAGCGCTGCAAAGCACAAAGCTCCTAATGCTACTCTTTGTTTTCTTTCTTCGAAACTTCGTGCTTGCAAAAATAAAACAACTGCTCTGCTTTGTAAAAAACCAACTGATATTCAAAACAAGTTGATATTATGGGCTATCTCTAATGCCAGGAAAAATCGATTTACAAGTATGCAATGTCATAATGAACTGAAGTTAGAACTGCTAAAACGAATGGCAGATAAAATTCAGAAAAGGGAGGACAAAGACCGCAGAAAGGTAGAAAAAATATTTAAAAGTTGCATGCCCGATCAGGTAAAAGAAATGTTTCCTGACCTAGAAAATAACGAGGCCTCAGATATTGAAGAAATTCTTATTGGAGCTGCTATTGGAAGAAGTATTTGCCACATGTGGTTCGATAATGCCAATAACACCCATGAGGTATATTACGGCAGAATTGTTAGCATTAAAAAGAAGAACAATGATATATATATAGTTTCTTATTGGAAACCAAATGAAAATGAAGATGATGACGGTGTTAAGTATGATATGAGCAAATATCAACTTTCTGCAGACATAATAAGCGGTGATATGGTGATAACATAACAGAATTGTGTAATAATAAGGTATATTTTATTTTAAGTATTAGTATGTCTTATAAACTTGCGTTAACAGATAATATTTACAGATAGTAGGTGAATTTCTTTTTTTTTTTTTTAAATAAATTTTGCAATGCCTAATATATATCTAATTCCTTCCTTTTTTTGTAGTATTATGAAAAGATTTATAATTTTTAAATTTGTTTTTATATATACATATATTTATATAGAAGTTTAATTTTAGGTAGTCGGGTAGTTACCGACATCCAACAACCAGGGTTGACCTGGTTGCAACGTGCTATGGGAAACCAAAGCTGATTTACTTTTTGACATAAGCAAATTGCTTGGCTTATGACAATTAATGTTTATCATTGATGTTTATCATTATCAATGATGGCAATGCATTTTTCTATCAAGTATAACAGAGTTTCGCTTGCGTGGATTGAGAGATGTTAGTGTTCCATTTCAATAAATCCCTTTAAAATTAAAATTTTTATTTATTATTTATTTAAAGTTATCTGGCCATTACCAGAGAGTAATGACCAGATAACTTTTTCTTCATTATAATTTTTAATCAAATCTTTTATATTTCAGGTTAAACAGTATTGAAGGGTCTGCTATCGATTTTTTTGTTTGGTAATGGGAAGTTTGTTGTGTATCAGGAGTTAAGTGATTTTGAATTTTTTAACTTAATAAATCATTCTTATATTTAGTAATCTCTAATGGTTTTTTTAGTTATGGTGCTAAATATCTAATGCATTTTCATTTATTTTTTATTGCAAGGTTTTAACAATAATGGCAATTTGCTACTGTGGATATTTATGTTAAAGACCTCAAGATTATATTTATTGATTCAGTAATTACAGTTAAATGTTAATTCATTATACATTAGTTAATTGTTAGCCTTAATTTTTATATTTTTTAAAATTTTATATCTGATATATTTTTTCTTATTGCAAGGTTAAACAACATGATGAAAACTACATGGTTGCTTCAGTGGATGTTGATCTTTTTCATATCAAGATTAAACCGGTTAGATCATATTTATTTAGAGGTTTATTATGTTTATTAATGCAGTAATAACAGTTATATATTATTTATTATCCGGGACATAGGGCATCCTTATTAAATAGGTATTGCGATATAGGTATTAAGAAATTTTTACTTTATTTTAGATATCATTGGATGTGGTTTCCTTTGCGTACTAAAGAATCGACTTTTTCTATCTATGGATGTCACAGTTTTGTTTGCTTCAAAATCTAGGCTTTTTTCAAAGCCACAATTCTGTTAAAAACATTACTGAGCAAAAAAAAAATTTTTTTGTTAAAGAAGTGTGTTTTAAAATAGTTTTAGTTTTTGCGGTTTGTTGGAATTTATATATAATTAGATATATGGGGCTATGGAAGGGAAAAGGAAGGGGAGCAGTGGTGGACATCCCCCCACCCACCCCACCCATTTGTTTAGTTGGATATTTTTTTAGTAGGTTTTTAGTTAAACTATATGATGTAATTGACACGGCTTTTAAAGTGGGGAGGGGGGCCAACTCCCTAATTTAAAAATTCTAAAAAAAAGGTCCTCGAAGCAATTAGTGGGGGAGGAGGCATAGCCCCCTATGGTGTCGACGGCCATGAAAGAGGGAGGTGAGGCCCCTTCCGTGAATGAATTTTTTGTTTATTTAGTTGGCAAAATATATCTTTATATCTATATCTTTCATTGAAAAAGATAAAAATAAGCATAAATATAGAGCGAAAACACTAAGGCTTTAAATGTCTTTAAAGTTCATCTATACGCTATAGAAAACCTAGCCTTGGTACATATTTAATAACATAAATATATATAACCTTAACCATTATTATGTATAAATGTATATATATATATATATATATATATATATATATATATATATATATATATATATATATATATATATATATATATATATATATATATATATTGTAAGTATCGTTAAAATACACGATATTTTATTTAAAATTTTGTTATAAATTTTAATATTAGATTTTTATCATTAAAAATAATTTTGTTATAAATTGTTAAAAAAATTTTGTTATATTAAAAACTTTTTTAAAAATGTTATTAACTCGTTTTGCACATTTCACTAAGCAAAATCATGCGCAAATTAACAATAACGTTCTACCGTTAG